AATACAAATAAATAAATAAATAAATAAATAAATAAATAAATAAATAAATAAATAAATAAATAAATAAATAAAACAAATAAAAATAGGGGTGGATTGGAGGGGGGGTTGGACGGCATTCAGAAGCTAAAAGGCAACAACTCTTCACTCAGTTATTCTGTAAATTTAAGTCACATGACACGAAGGCTCAATCACATCTATCTATACATTATCTCGCCTCTTACCTTCTGGCCGATCATCAAAGTCTTCGTCCTCCTCCTCGGAGCCCACGGAGTACTCGGACTGGTTATCTGAAATGTCAGCATGCCACTCTGAAACAGCACAGGGTTCCCTGTCAATAGGCCCGGCCCACTGGCCTCCACCAGCCTCAAACAAAACCCTCAGGGCCTACCTTGGTCCTCCTGGGCCGCGTCGTTGTAGTTGACGGGCTTGCGGTTCCTCTTTCCCTTGCCCAGCTTGCTGGCCAGGTCCTCCTGCTGCTGCTCGTAGTGATGCCGCAGCAGCTTCTCCCAGTAGTCCGGGTCCACGTTCTCCTCCTGCTTGATGATCTCCCGCTCGATCTCCTCGATCTGAAACACCCGTCCGACACCTTTCAGTTGAAAACTGTCGCGTTTTGTGGATTTTTTTTTCTCGCCGTTTTGTCACGTCTGAGGGAAATGTTGGTGTTTTTGTCTTGTCTCCATGTTGTCTTGTCATTTCCCATTTCCTGTTTTATTTTGAAAGTTTTGTCAAGTCTGAGGGAAATTTTTGTGTTTTTGTCCTGTCTACACATTGTCTTGTCATTTCCTGTTTTATTTTGAAAAGTACATCCCCTTGTTTCAGGCCACTTGCACCCCCCTGTGTGTCACTTGTCTGGTTGTCTTCCTTGATTACCTATTGTGTACACCTGGGGTTCCCTTTCCCTCATTTGCTTAACCCTGTAATGCCAAAAGTATCATATTTGATTCATACGGTTTCTGAAATGTTTTGCGTCTGACACCTTTTGCATAATTTGATGGTAAAAACTTTGCTGAAAATCCTATTGTACACAATCAGATACACCTTATAACAGGGGGCAGAAGACTACACAAAAAATAATCTTGACTTATCGCATAGTAATAAATGATTAATATCAAAAATGTATTTCCGTTTTTTCTTTTTACATATTTTGTTAAAAGGCCAAATAAAGACTTCAAACCAAAAAAAGTAATTTTCTGTTTTGTTTTGTTCTTGGATCGGGCTTTAAAGGTTTAAATAGACCTCGTTTCCCTTTATCTTGTGCCAGTGTGTTTCCGTTTACGACCTAACTGTACAGCTTTCTTGTCTTGAACCATAGTCCTTGCCTTTGATTCCTAGTTGCCTCTCTCGAGTGCCTTTTTGAGTTTTTTGTCTCCTAGTGGTTTTTTCATCCTAGTGAGTATTATTTTGTTACTTTGTACCTCGTCTTTTTGTCCTCGTTCCTGAGTGATTTTGATTTAGTACTTTGTTCCTGGTCTTGTTTACTTATTTGATACTTTGTTCACAGCTTTGTCTCCCTCATTAGAGCGATTATATTTTGTTCATAGTCTTGTTAATCTTGTTTTGGTAATTTAGTTTCCACTCTGAGAGTGCGCTTTTGGTTCAATAAACCTTTTTGGTACCACCGCCTGCTTCAAGTTCCCATTCCTGACAAGTTTCCAGGTTCCAAGTTAGTTTCCTGCGCTCTGGTTCTACAGGGTCAAGGGTCAAATGTCACAGGACGCTGTTTGATTTGAGAAACTAAAGGGAAAATGAAATGGTGGCCATCTTGAAAGCCGCCATACTGGCTGAAGGGCGATGGCGAAACTGGTCATGACGCATATCATATTAGAGCAGAAGTGTCTCAGAAATCGATTTCTTGTGGTCAGATTTGAACTTTCTCTCGTGGCTCAAAAGCTATCAACAGCTGACGACGACAGCCAGAACCCGCTCCGAACCGTTTCCACGCGTATGGACTGGAGAAGAACGCACGCGCTCAGAGCCGGAGATTAATGAGATTCGACTGTTTGG